AAAATCAGAGGTTTCTCCCGTTGAATCAAATACTGTAGAAACATCCATGATAGTGAGGGTGGTGTTCGAGTAGGGGTGAGCAGTGTCGCGCTGGAGGAGCTTTTCAAGGGTGGATTTAGTGGAAGGGGGGGAAGGGCCGCATTTGGACGAGATGGTCATGAATATTTCTCAAAACCTGCGCAGAGCACGGTTGGACCCTTGTCAGAGAGACGCTTGGGCTGTCCTAGCTTGCTCACTAATACATAGCTGCTCGCTTAGGCTCATCCACTAACAACTCTGCCCTCTTCGGCGCAAATGCTGTATGAATTGCAGCAATTTAAAATATTCTGAAAGAGCTACAAATTGAAATTTCAAGTTTCTGAGAAGGGGTCCTGTACAGAATACTGCGGAATGAAGTTTTCAAACCAAGACAACACATTGAATTTTAACCATTTCTGTGGAATCCTCACTTCGTATTCCTCGAAGCAGTAATGGGGCGGAGCACCGACAAACTCGACCAGTATTGTCCTCGTAATCGACTGCAAGAAATATTCGCCGAAAAGCCGCTGTCCATTTGGATGCCGCGGTATTTGCTGAAATTTCGAACAATCAGTACTGGAAAGCAAATTTAGAAACACTGCTATCAAAAAGGGGATGGGGTTGAAGTGGTTTTTCCGGGTGCCTGTCACAACGTGCACGAGCTTGAAAAACCGTTTCGCTACTCCTTTCATCCATCACCAACCCTCGCTTCCTTTTATAGTTAGAGGACAACAACAGAAAATCACACCAGTAAGACCACCTGACCCCAGTAAGAGCAGATGAAAACACGGAAACGGAACGGCACGTTTCTGCCTCTGCTTAAGGCGGATGTAGACCAACCCATCAGAAATGAAGGTAGAGGTGGTAAGTGGTGCAGAGATGAAGAAAAACATAAGAAACAGCCGAGAACCCGAGAAGTGGGACCTTTTTTGCCGTGATTTCCGCATTGATGCAACTCTCATCGTTGCTGATCGCTTTATTATCATCGCTGAAGCTCTTTCTGGCTCAGCTGTGCTAAACGGCCACAGTCAGATGGCAAGGGGTTACCTATTGGCGAGCGTGCAGAGGTGGGGGAGGGCAGAAGCGAGTGCAGGTATGGACCCTGCCTAAGCCCTCTTGAGACATTACCTTAGGCAATTGGAATGCGCATTGTCCCGCATCGTTAGGGGACCCTGCTGGCCTTTCGAGTAGGTATATTTCTCTTTTCTTTGACATCTGACTTCTTGCGCGAACTCCGCCTTCAAAACACAAGCGGACATATGAGCAAAGTCGGACGCCGAGCAGTGCCATCCCCCCCGATGACCACTGCGGATCGAATCCAGCCACATACCATCGAACCTTCCGTTTCGGAGCTGGTAAATTGCTGGACAACTCGCCTCGGACAGAAGCAGTTGAGAAAACTGGCTTTTTACTATGGGAGTTAGCTTTGCGAAGATCACTAGCGCATGAAATCATATTCACCTTCAAAGCTCCACAAAGATTGTGAACATGGAAGTGAAAAAACATCGGCCACAGTTGTTCCAAACAAGAGCGGCCTGATCGACGCTAAATTATAATCCCTTCGCCTTTTAAGTTTGATTAATTCTAAAAATGTGCCTGCGGATTCACTGCGGATTATGAGACTTCTTATTACAATTGCCATGTAAGGCACTTGCCAGGAGCGTAAATAAGCATGTGAAATAGATCGTTCCAGGGCATATCCAAGCCGCTGTTGACGCAAAACTGTACTTTCTATCTAAAAAGGCCCAACGTGTTGAATTTCCTCATGTAACGAACCATGCGTTTCGGGTGACAAAAAAAACTGAAATGGGGATTGCAGAGGAGAAGGAGGAGGAGAGGGGAATAAATACCTGTGATCACGTGAGGACTTTTCCTTTAATTGCCATAAAGGGCACGTGCTCGGCATTATATATCATGTGAAATACGTTCATGGATATTTACAACCCCTGTTGACGCAAAACCTGTCCATTTCTGCCGTAAACAGCCAATTTGCAGCGCTTCGGTATTGATCGTAAACTTTGGTCGATTTTTATTACTTGAAGTAGGCAGGTATTCAACCGCTGCGTGCAGTCATTAAAGGGCAGCAAGTTACTCTAGACCAGGAACTAACGTCTGGTGGTCGGCGGCGTACAAATCAAGGTTACTCAAGTGTAAAATCAAAGATCTGCACGACCAACTCCTAATGGAGAACATTCTCTGTACTCCAAAACACTTTCTCGAAGAACAATAATCAAAATTCTGAACCAATTTTTTAAGTGAAGCATAATTAACATATCTTCCTATATAGAGGGCGGAAGTGGTGTAGTGGCAAGTGGCACGCTTACCACGCGAGCGGTCCGGGGATCAAATCCTGGGTCGTGAGTCGCCCGGGCCAACCAAGCCTTCCATCCCTCCGGGGTCGGTTAATTGGTACCAGACTTGTCTGGGGGAGGATAAAAACACTGACTTGTACATCGGCTGGCCCCCGCAAGTCATTGTATAGGCCACATCGCATTCAAACGCCACTACGAATGTACAAATGGAAGTAGAATGCGTGCCGCATCCCAAAAAGGGATTGATCAACGGCAAATGCTTTATCCTTTATCCTTTTATTTCCTATGTGCCTCTGGAGTGAGAAATGCATTTGAATGACGTACAGGATTGTTTGGTGCAGCTCTTTGCCCATGCAATCATGAACGTAAACCAAATCGATTTTTCCAAAAACTTTTCTGGTAAAAAGATGTTCACAAGATTCACGGCGTTCATAAGGAATGCCAGATATCTGAACCTCAACCTATTAACGAAGTTCACTTCAATGCAAGCAAAAGAAATAAAGATACCTTACAGCAGTTGTGGATTTGTTGTAAAGCAATAAATACCTACGGAATATTTCGCTTGAAAGAAAATGCGTCTTTTGAAATTTTGCCAGAAGCTGCAAAGACTAAACATGATTAATAATCCACTGGAAGGTATGCTGAGGCAATAGGTGACCTCTGCTGTGTGATGGATAGCGTTGTCTGCAAGGAAGTGTACAGTGTAGGGGTTCGAGCCCCGACTACAAGGGAGGTCTTTCAGGACATGGAGCGCTTTTTCGAAATGGTTTTCTGCATGTTGTAGGGGCTCATGCGAGGAACACAGAACCATGATCCATTTTTCCTGAACGCCTCCAGGAATGTCAAAACAGTGGTGAAGAAATGGTCCAGAGTTCGATCCCCGGTGATGACTAATTTTTGCAATATAGTTTGGCGCCCCAGATTGCCGCCAAATGGCGCCATCGTCGAGAATAGATGTCATTGTCGTGTTTTGCGGCAATTTGGAGGCGCCAACATAAATTGCAAAAATTTGTCATCACGGAGGATCGAACTTTGGACCATTTCTTCCCGCTGTTTTGACATTCCTGGGGGCGTTCAGGAAAAATGGACCATGGTTCTGTGTTCCTCATGAGCCTACAACATTCAGAAAACCATTTTGAAAAAAGCGCTTCATGAAGGCCTCGCTTGTCAGATGCAGCGCAATATCGTTGCGACAACATTTGTATTAGTAGTGTTGAAATCACTGGGAAGAAAGCGTTTGTGCTATATTATATCTCTAGCTTCCAGTGAGATTAGGTGGGCTGCCAAAATAGGAAGGGCTTAATTGTTCAGCATAAAAGGAACTTTTCAAATATCGTTTTTAAGCACAGTTGCAGGGAGGAAACGGTTCCGGTAGGAGGCGAAAGTGGTGTAGTGTTGGGTGAAGCCATTGAGATACATGTCTATAGTAGCTCATAAGGAAATAAGTTTGATAGTGGGTACTTTTAAATAAATCAGTCTAGGGACCCATGGCGGTCCGATTTCAAGAAGAAAGTAAAACCGATCTGACATTATGCTTCGCTCTGCATGCGATCAGCTTCACAGGCTTACCCTGTGATTGACTCTCTGATTGCAATAGATTATTGGGTATCAAAGCAAACGCATCGAAGTGCTGCTACTGAGCACGAATTGAAGAAATTAATGAATCGTGCGCCGGCGATCCCAAAAGAAAGGCAACTGCTTAATCTTTGTCTTTTGTCTTTTGTTCTGCTTTAAAACTCGCATAACTTACATTCATAAAGGTATTCTTCGAAAAATGGTTCAGAGCATGTGGTACGTGGAAGGAACGATGGCTAGGATGATGACATAAATGACAGCTCTCTCTCTTCTGATGAGAAGGTAAGTGGAGTCGGGTTGCCTATGCCTGATATCGTGCCTTGCCATCTTATTATTTACCAAATTTGGAGGGGAATCAACAGGTCAAAGAATTTTAAGCAGTTACAAATATCTGGTATGTCAATTAGCGGGGCGAAGGTGATTTGGTTTAACGCGTTTCCTGAGCATATTGCCTGGGGATTAACTCCTAGATCGGATAGCGCTTAGGTCAATGAAACGTTTCATTCCTTCGAACGCATCCATGAGGGTCAAAGCACCTACGTCGGCATGGCCTGACCTCGTCGCATTTCACTGTTTAGCCCTATCCGGATTCAAGTGAAATTCTACGCTTGAAATAAAGATGGCGCACCTCAAGGGATAGTTCAATGCTGAATCTTCTAGACGTATTTTTCACTTCATTATTGAGCTGCCGTTTAAGCAATATCCCCCATCTCTTTGAAATGAAATTTAGTCGTGTTACTAAAATCGCGAAAGAGCCGCCCTCACACTGCAACTTTACCACCAGCGACAAGCCAGCCAGCATGAGGATGGGCCCTATCGCAAGAAATGGGGGTACCCTCTAGGGTGGTTGTTAGATGGGTATGAACTTCGGGAGAAATGAAGGTTTTCCATGGACCCTGTGGTCTCTCCTTCCTCGATTGTTGGTTGGTATCAGTTTCAACAAAACGGAGAGTACAAGGTTTCATTGCATTACCCCACCACTATGCCCCACATATTGCGATAGCACCATCAGCTATGTCAATAGTTGTATCACTGCTTGCAAAAAAATACCACGTAATCTTCTGCTATTGCCATTTTCTACCCACAGAAAAAGGGAGTACGCAGAGAAAGTGCCTGAGTCTCTCCGATGGATTTGTCTGTGACAGCTCATGTGGGGGTGCTGAAAGTCAGCTGTTCTACGAAGTACTAATTGCATGAACACCTGCAATGATTCACCCTGTTACAGGCATTTCAAGGGACTTCAGCCAGCGCTGATAGATGCTCACTCAGCTGATTGATGCTCACAGGTAATTGAAAGCCTCAATGCAATGGACCATCCAAGCAGGGTCACCGTCACGTTAGAACAAATTCGATAATTTTACGACCCCCCCAGCGTCAACCCTACCGTTGGTACTTTTCGAGGAAATTTGGTCACGAACCCCGCTGCGCCAATCAGAGGACTCAGCGAGTCCAACGAAGAACGCGCATCCCCTTTCATCTGAGCTGCTGTTTATGTGTTTTCGATTCTGAGCCCAGTTGACACATCCCAACCCCGCCCATATTTCCTCCAAAGTAGCCGTCGAGCGCGGGAGGGGGGGGAGGTCACACTACGACCCCCCGTTGGTGTAGGATTCACACTGCCTCCGACCTTGCGAGTACGACCCCCGTAAAGAGCAGCACCTTCTCTTAGCAGAACAATATGCGAAATTGAGTCTGAAGCAAGCCCACCCCTTTCGTAGAAGGAGGTCTGGTCTGGTGGGAGTCCTTGAAAGTTTTGCAGCAGCATTGAAACTCGCAACCCTTTCCTTGTGATACTAATAGCTTACAAACTGTACTGCGAGACCTCCGCTCACTTCCCTGAATCTGGAGCCCTCACTTTAATTCATGTGCTGGAAAAATTCGTCCCCAAGCTGAAGCTCTGAGAAAGCTCGTTCTTGCTGGCATGTAGCCGCCTGCATGCGCCGTTCAGGGATCGATAGATGCGACGTGCTTGCATACAACCTTAACGGGAGTCCACTGAGCTCAAAAGAAAATTGCTGCCGTCTAGCAACAGCCGTCGCCTCCATTGCACGTACATAATGAAAGGTTTAAAGGTGCTCAGGTGGAAGGCAAGGGTCTCTTCATAGTAAAATTGACTTCATCCCTTTCCGACGTCGAATCCTACGATTTGGTTGAGCCAGATTATAAATATTCCAAAGAAAGTGTCAATTTTATCGAATAGTGAGGATTAATTCATAGCATGGCCTCCCCTGAGGTGCAAAGAGCTACATATCGTGAGCCTATCCTAGGATATGGGGGGGGGGCATAGTAGTGGCACGCATTTAAAGCCACGTAAAACATCTCTTTTCTGTCAAACGGGACCAAGCCTCACAACGGGAACAAACTCCAGAGTGCGCGAGCAGGTTTCATTTTTCCCGAAGTACCTTCTCCTACTAGGCCCAGTTTCAGAGGATACCCCGTATCTTGCGATAGCGCCCACGAAAACTACATTGCTTCTCGTTGTTGCTCCACCTTCCCATCCCAACAGTACGTAGGGAGGCCGCACAAGTTTGGGAAGAGAGGCAAGTTCCAACGATATGTGTGTGCGGGAGGTGATATGAATTGTGCCAAGACTCAGAGTTTTTGTTGCCTATGAAAATAGGATGTATGTCATGGCGATGTCTCCTGTCGCCTGTAAGTGGGAGGTCAGCATAGTAAAAGATCTTCCGAGTATTACGGTTGGTGACAGAACCTCGATCAGGTATTGAGCCAAAGTCCCTAAAGACTTGGGTATCGCATTACACGAGGGGACGCGCGAGATGTATGCATTTAAAAAAATTCCGAAAACCTCCAAAAATTTGGAAATCGATTACAACAAAAAGGTCTCAAAAAGCTCTGTTATATTTAATGCGCTATGAGCGTGTCTAAACAAAGGCCATGGGGATGATTTAAATTCATTCTTCGTTCCGGGGGAGGGGAGCTTTTTGAAGATTCACAGTTGGGGCGTGAGTCAAACCGCGAGTGTGGGTTACGCAAACGCCAAATAACCCAAGTAACTAACATTATCGCGATTGCTATTTAAAAAATGGTTGTAAGGTTCTCGCTCCCTCGCCCAATCCTCTCTCTTGCCCCCTCCCCCTCGCCTTATCTTTTGCGTGCGTGACAGCGTACATATGCTGGCAGTACTGGTTTTTGATAGGCAACTATGGCGCACAAACGGCGACAATGCCTGATTCAATTCAAGATGAACCATTTTTAATTACACGTAATAAAACAAGCGGGGACGGGGGGGGGGAGACCAGCTGACTTCAAAAAATGCACTCACAACCTGCCAACACAATTTTTCGTAGGACCTACATTATGCTATGCTCATTTCCCGTCAAATAACGACATCATAATCGCGTTTTTTTGAAGGATGCTGGAAGTTGTTTAAGTTTTTAGCTAATTCTGCTTAGCTCCGAATAAATGTCAATCCGCCTATGGGCATTGGACTACCATTTCCAAAAATAGTCCTCCATATGACGATTTATTGGGCCATATAATCTCTGAAATCATCTTAAGGGGAAAAAACCTCATCGTCAGATAATCTTCGGAGCTGCAGCGGAGAGGCAAGCAAGCTTATCTAGATAATTGGTATACGGTAGGCTTACGACGTTATTATTGCCACTTAGGCTCATATTTAGGAGATATTAAGCGGACTGGGAGTTCCGCAACGGGTGGTGTCAGATTGGCTTCGATTTTGAGCAAATCCGTTGAAGCGGCTCTGGCTTAACCCGCTAAATATAACTTTATAATATTACGCATGATACGGGTTATCATTTATAGTAAAATCCAGGCTTGAGCAGATGAGAGAAATGGGAGCTTCAAATAGAGCAGGACTGTCATTCGGGCCTTCTCTTTTCAAACCACATCTTTAGGCCATGCATTCGAAGGACCACACACTTTAGACGACTTTTCTAGAGAGATTTCTGGGCGGCCTGAATGAAATATCGACGAACTTAGAGCTATTCAATAAATAGAAAAGTCTTTCACTAGTTTTCAAAGTAGGCTTCCACTAGGGAGATGAAAGCCCATAGAAGCTCGATTGAGCAAAAGGGGCGCTGTGTCTTCGAGAGGTGGGGAGGACGTTAAAGTGTTCGAGCCACTTACAGTTCTTGGATTTGAGACTTGCGGAGAGGAATGGATTCTAGGGAAGGATGTGAGCAACTCTTGGCCTTTTTGACATTCCGCTCCACTCTTGGGCTTAGTCCTAGTGCTTTCTAACCAGCGGTGTTCAAATGCCATGTTTTGAGTGTCTAATCTAACCCCCTGCCAAAAACGGTACACCATATCGCGTCAGATTCGTGGAATTATCGCACAAAGATGGAAGGTCAGAGGAATACTTCGCGGTAAGCTAGGTGTACATCACTGAATCTGAATTGGAAAGAGTCTGTTGGTCTACGTATACGTTATATACAAGAAACATTAGATTCCTGAAAATTCGCAGGCTCTTCGTATGAGCGAGGTTTGCTGCGGGAAGCTCATTAGTTCCATCTCATCAACGTATTTTGACGTATCATAGGAACCGACGATCAATGAGGTTTCCATAGACTGGGCGCAAACCCCGCCAACACCATCAGTGTCATGCTTTTCATTCACGGTGTTTATTAGTCTCTTTGATCAGTGGTGGACCTACTGGCAGAATAATAAAGCTCTACATATTGAAGGAATCACTTGCCAAAAAAGACTTCGAAACTATGAGGACTCTTTCATATATAGTCTCCAATGATCGATCGATCGATTTCCTATGCTTTTTTTTTCAAAATAAAGATACAATAGTAATATAATACATTGCGAAAATACGCTATAGAAGAAATTTTTTAAAGGTTTCTTCGAGAAAGGGAGACGTGTGAGAACCACTCTCGAATTCCCTTCCACAAAGCAGTACTGCTAACTGGTGGAGCAACACCCTATACTGCTCCTTCTGCTGACAAGATGGTCCTACCTAGCAAACCAAGTCAAGTGATCCAACGACTGAAAGGGAAGAAACGTCCCACAGCCACTTAATGGGCTGATGCCTTTGAATGGTCGTGTACACACCGAGAAGTGTAAAAAGAATACAAAAATAGACGTACTATGTGTTTTGCAATACTGTGAGATGTTCTTCTGATCGTCGACATAGTTGAGCTCTGAAAAAAAAATAATAAAATCGAACATTACGATAGAAACAACAATAGGAACTGTTCCCATGTCCGTCTTTCTTGAAACCTGGGCATTCTTCATAAGTGTTTTTGTTAGTGCTGTGCCATACAGGTTTTTTAGGGTGGAATATTTATTATGCCTGACGTTTCGACGATTTCGTCGTTATCAAAGGCCTTAATTCCACCAGGACGGGCCGCTCAGCTCCGCGAGTCAATGGAGAAATGGCGTATGGCACAGCACTAATAACAAAAACACTTAATAGGAACTGTTTTGAAAGCAGGTACTATGTTCCTCGAACAAAAATGATGGCGTGAATAGCCGCGACGGAATTCATACCCAAGAGCTAACCGATAAACCCTGCCAAGTTCTATGACAAAGACGTTTACCCTCTTGCCCCTCCCGCTCAACCACGAGCTGTGGTCAGCTATGAAAAACGATTTTCTCTTGTAAACAAAAAGCTCTCCAGGTTGCGAAAGCCTTTTTTGGGAAGATGCTTTGTGGAGATTAGTAGAAAAAGTGACAAAAGTTCAATATTGTGGCTATGGAACTACCAGGATTAGTTTTTTTTGAAAGGTACTGCTTCTTGAACAATTTCCCAGCGTAGAGCGACACAGTGTTTTCGTGGCATTTTGACGATTTCTTTCAACCTTTTCTAAAGAGGAAATGCAGAGGGTGATTGAAGAGATCGAGGACTGCCTACGTGAAGAAAGGAAGATGTGAGGCGGGGTATAGGTAGGGACTGCTCGGGGGGCATGGACGGGGAGCCAGTGACATACCAAGAGGGAGGGGGTAAGACATGTAAGGCGCTGAAACCATAGCTAAAAAGAGGGTGGTATTGAGAGGGACCGGTCGAGGCCGCCGAGTTCGACGAGAGACGACTGAGCGGTCCATAATTACATCAGTAAGGAACAACCCAGGCAGAGGCCGTGTGAGCGTTTTCCTTCGGTCTATGGTGTAGACCCCCAGGGGACAATCACAAACGTAGTTTTCTCCGCACGGAAACAACCGGCGCTTGGGGCCTTGCAAAGTAAGCTGCTGAAGCTGCAGATTTTTTTCTCTTATCAGGCTGTTGTCTGGCGCTCTCTCATCTGTAGCGCTCTCTCGCCCTCATACTCTCCTCTCCGCGCTTAGTCTCTCATTCCCTTAGCACAGCCGATTAGGAAGGTGAGTGAGCCCTTAACCTAAGCGTTTTCGACGGATTCTTTTCCTTTTTTCTTACTGTAAGTCCATTTCGCACCAGTAAGATTGCATTTGTGTGCAGGAGCCATACCAATGTGATCCTGGGGCATGCCCTTAATATTCTAGAGGAATAACCACCAACTTGACTATGAGGTGCGCCTTTAATGAAGCCCGATTCTCAAAAGAAAGACATGGTGGGTACAGAGAACGACTTAGATAAAGCATTATCAAATTCCGATCCTTGGAAACGCTATGTCCTCTGAAATCAAAGTGATACTTTCTCACCGGGGTCGATTGGCATTCGCGACTCCTTCACCACTGCCGACGTCCTATTCTTTGACTTTGGCAAACTGTAGAGTGTAATACGGTAGCTCTTGGAGAACTCGAACAAACTCTCAGAAGTGAAATGAAAACGCGGCTGAAATTAATTAATAAACAATTTGTTTTTCTGAATTATAAACTAACATTATTATTATTATTATTATTATTATTATTATTATTATTATTATTATTATTATTATTATTATTATTATTATTATTATTATTATTATTATTATTATTATTATTATTATTATTATTATTATTATTATTATTATTATTATTATTATTATTATTATTATTATTATTATTATTATTATTATTATTATTATTATTATTATTATTATTATTATTATTATTATTATTATTATTATTATTATTATTATTATTATTATTATTATTATTATTATTATTATTATTATTGGAGGCATAGGACTCAGAGGCTCCATGTTTAAAACTTTCCTGGCGTTCTCTACTGTCTGGGGATCTCTGCCACAGTTTTATGTGTACGAGTTTCGAGCCGTAAGCCCTAATAAGAATTGTTATTATTTTATTATTATTATCATTAATAATTGAATCTTCGCGAATTAGTCGGTGAAATAAGACTGGGTGAATTTGTTCATATTCTAGAACATTGACAGGAATATCATTGTGATAATTCAGGTTCAGATTCGGCCTCCTGTCTCCCCACCTCTGCTGCGCTTCACCCCTTTGGGTGGCTCAATCGTTATGGGGTAGTTACTGGGAAAGAAAAGGCGAGCCTTTCCAAATATATCTAGATTAAACCGGGTGCACAATCTAGTCTATTATACCACTCGCCTACAGCCTATGGCTGTTTCTACAGAATTTGGAGTTCTGAGACGCAGTCAACACCTCCCAGTTTTTTCCTACAAAATGACGCGAGCGGCTGGGGAGCACGACAGCGTTTCCTAATTAATTGCCTGTTTTTGGCCACGCAGCGAAAAAAGGCCTTTCTTAATGCGTTAAATTTTCCCGATAAAGTGACTGGGATTAGAAATCATGCCTAAAAGCGTGCTAAACTATGGGAATGAATGAGGGGAATACTTAAAAGGAGAACGTTTCTATCAAATGTAGCAGCCCCTTCTCATAGAATGCTGAAGAAACCTTGAGAAGTAGTAAAGTAGAAGAAATTAAACAGAACTCAAATTTGTATATTATAAGTATAGAAATGTAAACCTGGTACACTGTGAAGAATCTTTTGAAATGAATACTAATAACAAGCGGGTCAAGCGATGTGAGAAGAAAAGGAAAAGAAATAAAACTCAAAAACAAATAAAAAATAAAATATAATCCTGAATATAAAAAATTTCATTTTTTGTATCTGAACTGTATTAGAAAAGCCAAAACAAAAAAGTGTATAGCAATCTAAACGCCTGGATCTAGATTTTTTTGCAATTGTGCTAAGATTGAAGTCGCTTTTCTGGTGATTTCGAGGGAGCTTATTATAAAAATAAAGAGTAAAAATAAAGAAAAATCCACTGACCGAGACTGAATCTTCTGTAACGCCGGAATCGGAAACATTGAATACAAAGCACGTGTCGGTACCATTAATTTCTAGCTGAAAGCACGTAGCGGATGAATTTCCTCGAATGCAAACCCGAATTTTTTACCCTTTTATTACAATATTTATCTTTTTGTTAGACAATTTTATTTTATAATTTGCAATGATATATATTATTCCACACTTTCTTACAATTATTCTTTTCTTGTGACTTTTATTTCATTTTGTGGATGGCATTTTCTTGGTTTTTCACTCAAAAATCAGGCTGAAACATTTTCGTTCTGCTGTGCCGAAAAATCGCTCTTGGGCACGGACAAATATCAATGAGTGCCTAAATTGGAAACTTCGGGAAAAGATTTTATCTCGAATTTGGTCTGATTATTTCTAGATACTGGAAAAACGTCTTGGTACGCTAGCGTTCGAAGTGGTTGGAGGTAATGCAAGGAAAGGGTGAGCTGCAGCTCAGAGCGAAGTGAGCCCCACCCTCGAGCCTCTAAGGATCTACCGACGAGGGACAACCGTAGCGTTAGCCACTTTGCAAATTTTGTGACCCTCTCCCCTCTGAGGAGCCTTGATGAGGCCCATCTTCACCCATAAGTTTTGAAATGTCTTGACATAACGAATTCTTTCCGCCTCCCTCTACCATTGAACCGCCAGCTCACCACTGCAATTTAGACGAAAGTGTTATTATTCTGAGACCAGTACGAAACGACCAACTCTGCCCATTATAATTCACGCTACTTTCGTGAAACATTCGCCGAGAATCGTCAGAAGCAACCCCTTTCCACCCCTAAGATGGTTAAGATTTTCCAACCCCGTATGCAACCCCCTGCCATCCTTCACAAAATCACAAATGCCCCTCGTTCGAATAGTGCGAACGGACGATTGACCCTGTTTCCGACCCCTTCTCTGCCAGGTCCTCTTCCGATAACGGGTCCGGAAATAGAAGAAGCTGGCTGCGTTGTTTGAATACCGATAAGAACTCGAATGAAAAACAGAACCGAAGATTTTCATCGGTTGCCTGTACGAACATGGAGCACATGGCTCCAATTCTGTAGAATTTAAGCCTCTATTGTGTAACTTTATGAAGGGACTATGTAATGAGTTATACGAGATGAATATTTCGAATGAAGGCTAGAGAAAGGGCAGCTTTAAGAAACTAACTTCTTGGTGGCATTTGCCACGAGATATCGACGTGTAGCTGATGACGTTCTTGTCGGGCCATCGCCTTTGCAAACGCCTCAACTCGAAGATCATGTGCTTCTGGAGGTTCGCTGCCAGCTGGCACGTCATCGAACAAATGCTCAGCGCAGTCGACTGAAATATTCTCTGATGAGCAAAAGAAGCAAATCATCGAACAATGATAACAAGAACAAAAATGAAGCATTGGCAGTTGATCTTTCTACAAGCGCTACACATTCTGTCTCAATCAGAACAGTATTACCATTTTGAATGCAGTATAGCCTATACAATGACTTGCGGGGTACAAGTAGTGGTATGTACAAGTTAGTGATTTTGCCCTCACAGTCGAGTTTGGCACCGTGGACGCGACTGGACAGGGTCAGGAACGAGGAGGTCAGAGCGGTCATGCATGCAGACTGCCCCTGTCCAGCTGAAGGTACGGGAACAGCGTCTGCGATGGTATGGGCACGTGCTAAGGAGGCCACAGGACCACCCAATAAGGAAAGCAATGGACTTCGAAGCGCAAGGCAAGCGACCGCGAGGTGCCCCAAAGAAGAGGTGGAAGGACGTAATCAAGAAGGACCTAAGTGAAATCACGGCCACAGCAGAGATGCCCTGGACAGAGCGAAGTGGCGACGACTGACAAAGACACCGGACCCTCGACTGCGCTAGGGGGAAGAAGAAGAGTCGAGTTTGGCACAATTAGTCTTCTCTTCGACTTCTTCACCTGTGTACTAGGGAATCCCTTGTTGGTCACGCCTCATTCAGACGCGACCTCCTCAGCAATAACATGCAAATCTGCTTTGATCAAAACCCTCGGCTAATCTGTCAGTCTCCAATAACCGACCACCACTATGATCTCTTTCGAAGCTTTCCACCATCGCAAAGACATTTTGAATCGGACTAAAGAGCTAAAAAAGAGCGTCTATTTATAGTAGTCAAAACGCACCCCTGGCTGATTCAAAAGAGCAATATTCGAACAATTCAGCAAACAGAAAGTGTGCCCTTTGCAGGACGCAATAAGTGAATTATTCAGTTCTCCTGGATAGCGTAATGCATGAAAGGAAAGAACACAAAGAACGGCTATCCACAACTAGACGTTTATGGTCAGATTATGCCACAAATTTGGAGTGGGACCGCGGTTGCAGTCGTTACAGGACTACTCAGACCTTTACCATGAACCGGGGTGGAAGTGGTATGGAGGTAAGCAGCGTAGCCAACACTGGTCCGCGCACCAAATCCTGAATTGGCCGCCTAGGCATGTCATAACTTTCAAACACTGAGGGCCCAAGGACCTTGATTGAATTTGCCCAAGCCACCCCAACATTCACAGATAATTTTAATGGGTACCGTAATCGTCGTGGGAAATAGCCTCCTGCAATTGCATGAGCGTTTAGCCACTTTTTCAACCATTATATTGCACACACCTTGCAACTAATGGCTCATCTCCGAGTGCAGGTTCTACCATAAAATTTACATCAACCTGTTCTACTCGCTTCCCACCCCTCCATTCGCTCACAATAGCACCATCACCACCATCACACAAGCGAGCTATGTTTCAGCTAGAAGCAGCTATCGGTGGCACATTTAGCCCGTTCGTACAGTGGCCTCTGACTGCAGCTATCGCTGAGGACGAGTAGACCAGATCAAACAACGAAGTGAAAATTCGGCAAGGGAAAAGAAAGGGAGACGGGGTTAGGCTAAACTGTAGCAGTGAGAATGTTTGCTGTTATCTGAAGGAAGGAGGGAAGGGTAGCGACGGTCTTCCGGCCAACAATTTTCCTCTCTGGAACAGCCTTCTCAGTCCAACCCACCGGGAGCTACATACAGTAGCTGCCAGAAAACAATTGATCAGCGGTTTTTAGGGTTTCCTGTTTGACGAGAAGATTCACTGAGTTTTCCAAAGTCGCACCAGTGATTAAGTGATTTCTAACCCACAGAGAGAATATTAGTTCTCAGCTTAATTGGGACTCAGAAAAGGAATTCACGGAAGGAACGAGGGCCAAAAAGTTGACATTGGCATATTGGGAGACAGGCGGACCGCTCCTTGAGGGTACTGACGCGACGCCGTAAATGACATTGATTTGACCTCGCATCGGCAGCACTCTTGGCGCATTTGGCAGGGCTACGCCCACCGACTATCTGATCACTCGCCGCAGGTCTATACGTGGCGAGTGATTAGATAGCAGAGAGACAGAAGATTGCACAGCAATGAGAGTTGCATCAATGCGCAAATCAGCGGGCATGGAAGGGGTCCCATTTTTCGGGTTTCGGGCCGTTCCAAGAAGATTTTTCCTTCATTTCTCCTTCACTGACCATCTCTACCCTCATGTCCAAACCAACTTTTTAAGTAAACTCTTCCTCCAAAAAAGTATAGGTAATTCAAGTTTGTTGACAGCGGGTGAGAAATCACGTAGACAGTTTATTCAAATACAATAATAGATAACCCCACAGATCAATACGCCACTCAATTAAGCAAGCCTCGCACATTGCCAAGAGCTCTCTCCAGTCCCTGACATATTGACTGGTCTAATATGGCGTCATTCATGGCCTCGACCCTTGGTGGTGAAGAATCCTTCAACCTTTCTTCGAACAGGCCCCAAATTTTCGGTTTTTTTTTTGACAGAAATTCCTGTGTAGTTGATCGTTCTGTGGGGTTATACGTCATTTGATTTGAATAAACTAACTACGTTCTTTTGTCCTGCTTTTGATAAACTCGATTAATTCTATAATTATTTCACTCCCTGTTTTAGGTGGAGTTGATATATTTATTTTCTGTTGGTTAGAAGATCTAAAAAAATATCGGTTGCGAATTCGGAGAAAATTCAGCGATAATTGGGGAGAAGCCCGCAAAAAAGCTCACCAATTGATTTTTGACAAGTACTGAAGATAAGGGTGCCGGACACGTCATGCGATTTTGCGATGACCGTTGGACCAGAGCGGTTACCGACTGGATCCCTCGGGACGTCAAACGAACACCTGGACGACCGCCGGCCCGATGGTCAGACTTCTTCACGAAAGCTTTGAACGAAAGGAATGAAGGACTCCGTGTCCCTCGAGCGGAGGATCCACTGGACCACTCTAGCACGCGACAGGACGAATGGAGACGTTGCTGGCGCCCGCTCGA